AGTTCACTTGTGCTACAGAACACAAAAGCAAAGTCTCTGTTAGGACCTGCAGGTCAGAGGGAAGCAGACAGAGCAATCTGTATCACAAAAGGAAGGAGATTGTTAACAGGAGTGGTTGTTTTCATCTGAAAGCTGTTTTGCAAGCTGCAGAGGGACTGCACCCAGCTCTTGTCCTTGCTCAATGCTCTGCATAAAGGCTGAGGGCAGCTTTGCATTCCCCCATCCCTCCTAATTCCTTTTTATTAGCTCAAAACAACCAGAGCAGTGGAGAGAGGCCACCCTTCTGAAGTGGAATAGAATCCACCACAAATATGCATCAACTTTTATGCCTCCACGGGGCTCAGTGTGTACTTAAAACCCATCTGCTTTCAGTAGCCACGAGATCCACATCAAGCATAGCATGCAGGCTCCCATTTCCTTCCCACCCTCAGGAGTGAGGGAACAGGAAGAGGACAAAGCCCTTTTGGGTAGAAAATGCCTCTGTATTCTCACTGCTATTTAATCAGATGCACGTCTGAGGAGTTCAAGCCCTAAGCACAGGCCACGAGGAGGCACAAATGCTGCTAAATATACAGCCAGGCTCTCTCCTCTCCCCTTTCCCTGTTTCTCCTCTTTGTTCATCTACCCAGATGAGAACAGGGTGTCCTCCTCCCCCAGCCAGGCACTGCTGGAGTGATGCCTCTCCACTGAGGCAGCAGCAGCAGGATCCTGGTCCTCTGTCTGCATTCCCAACCTTAAAAGCTTTTGCAGGAGCCTTTTGCTCAATGAAATATTTACTCCCTCCCACCCAGCACAGAGACAGGGGCACTTGGTCAGTGAGGACATGTGGTCTAAAGGGCCATCCAGTATAAATTACCATGACTAACAAAGCAAGGAGCAGAGCAGAGGAGGCCTGGTGCTTATCAAAAGTCTTCTTTGGCTTACTGAGTTTGCTCACTCCCTTAACGCTTTCACTGAGGTGAGGAAACAAAAGTTTCCTGGCAACTGCTGCTGTTGACCTGCAAGTGCTGGAAAACAGGTGAGTGCTACCTGAGAATGCTTTAAGTTGGCAGTAAGCACCACTGTTGCCAAAAACCATCATTTCTCCCAGCTGCTTATTCCTACCTTTGTCATATCACCTCCTCACACTGGATTAGATCAGCAGGGAAAACACAAAATTCCCTTTAACCAAGATAAGCTCCTCAATCAGCACAAAGCTGCATAAGACACAATCAGAAGACAAGATGGTTCTTTTGGTAGTTCACAGCAGCCTGAATCAACCTGTGTGTGAACAATCCAAGGGCACGACTGCACATTCACTCAAGGTGGCACAACCAGAGGCTAATGCCCACCCTCATTACCAGCAGATTTTGGACATCTGGCAGCTGCCTGACACGTGGAAACATTGTCACTCAGAGCAGCAGGCAGTGATGGGATGAGATCACCACATCTTGCACTGGGGACAAGGTTTACAGAACTGAGCAGAAGGAAGCAGCAGCACAGAAATCTTAATTTTGCTCTCCCAAGCTCCAAGCCCACTGCCCTCTCCAAGCAGTTAAAACACAGGTTGAGACCATCAGCCCCTCTTAGGCAATCCAAATTTGTCACAGCTTAGTTTCCACTTTAGCCCTTCAGTTTTTCCATCAACTACTCAGCTCAGAACCCAGGAATTACTGCCCTGGCTCACCACAAAGCCCCTCCCTACCTGTTTGGAGTAGCCCCCGTAGATGACTATGTTGCCCTCAGGAGTGGTAGCCATCTGACAGCCAGATCTTGGAGCAGGCCCAATGCCTGATGGAGCCAGCTTGCTCCAGGTGAAGGAGTCCAGGTGGAAGGCATACACATCGTTGTAATAGATGTAATCTCTAGGGGAGCAAATTAGCACATCACAGGCTTTTGCAAAGGTCACCATTTAGGACAGGATAAAAATATCCCTTCAGGAACAGCACCAGGAACCTCTGAAGAGGTGCAACACCTTATTCAACTCCTTGCATTTATGGCTGGTCTTCTGTGGCAATGTACAGAAGGTTTGTTTGGGCAAAAGTCACTGTTTCAGTGCCACAGTTTGTATTTGACAAAGCTTCTTTAAGCAAGACCTCTGCAGGTTCTTTTTTTACCTGTGTCATTCCTTAGCACACAAGGGGCTCCATCAAGTCTGTCCAGTTAACATGGTCCAAGGTAACTTACACCAGGACACAAGATCAAAACAGATTAGATCTAGGATTGTATAGGAGGATGGGAAAAACATACATATGCCTTGTTCTCTTTCTACTAACCAGCTCACCCACTGCCAGTGGAGAGTTCTCTGCACAGGTGACACTCCCAAGGACACAGCCAAGTCCAGGGTGAGCTCTGCAACTCACACTGTGCTCCCCAGGGATGGTGGTGATGCTGCTTGCAGTCTCTGAGACAACATGCAGCTCGGCTCTCTTCACAGTCCCTGTGACAGTGTAGCTGTGACCTCAAGTAGTATGTGACAGCCTACTGGAGAAGATGCTTCTAGAAAGACAAGGCTCTTTGACAAGATTCAGAGGCCAAAGGTGATGTGTTGAGCTTCAGCTACACGGATGAGTAGCTACTTCAGTGATAGTAGCTAAGTGGTACAATGGTTTCTCAAACACTTGAAGACTCTAAATCAAGATCACTTGTCTTTCTAACATAGAAGTCTAGTTCAGTAACAGTACTGTTGAGGATAATCCTTCCAGTAAAGCCCAGCTATCTGTTACTGGTGACATCCTGTTGTCTTTTTTACAGAGGATTCAACATTATTCTGCCATAACCCACCTTGTGCTCTCATGGAAACCTCCAAAGATGATCAGCTGTCTTTTGCAAGCAACCATTCGATGTCCACTTCGTCCAGAGGGACCTCCTGATGCCCTGAAATGCAAAGAAATTCCCCTCATCAGCAAAATTCCCTTTCCTGTTAGCGTGTCAGTCACCAGTTATTGAAATCCCTGGTAACTGGGCTGGTTGAGTGCAGCTTCTGTCCTCCTGGAATGGGAAACCATGGGGAACATTGTTGCCTTAACCCACACAGATGTTTTTCTCCAGAACAGTGTGTGTAAATCTTGGTAGCTAGCTGCACCACAGGCATCTTGCAGTAACAGATTTATTCATGGTGATAAGGGTCTACTCTCTAACAGAACCCAAAGTCTTGCAGTCTTTCCTGGTTATGAATCAGGAGCTAATTTTTAAGCAAAGTTTAACAAATAGCAGTTAACTTCCACAATGGCAAGAAAGGCACTCCAGACAGAGGTGTTGTCTCCAAGTACCAAGGTAAGAGTCACAGACTGGCTCTGACACCCCCTCTGCTTCAAGACCTTAGGAAATCACATATCCCAGCTGTCCTCATTCATTTACCTGCAGTTAGAACACAGCATCAAAGGAGTGAGAAGACTTTGCAAATGACTTAGACATCCTCAGGCAGCAGAACAAGTCATCCCTATTATCTCACGCATTAAACAGCAGCCACTAGTCTCTGTTCTGCTCTTTCAAGCCTTCCTGACCTTTCAGTTAAATGTGCCACTTCCATTTCCAGGAATAAGCAACAACACCCCATCTGTCACATCCCAAAAGCTTCATGCCAAGCCAAGCAGCTGGCAATGACGTTCCTGAGAGGCAAGGGAGATGCACCTTCCTTCATCTTCACCCACAGACTGAGCATCATCCGAGAGAGAACAAAAACAGCTTCAAGAACTCTCAACACAAAGGCAACTTCAGGCTGAACTACAAAGAAAATGGGGTTTTGTTTCGTGTTCTCTGCCCCCGTGGATTAATCCAGCTCATTTTCTCCCCTGGCTGAGGAGTGTCTCAAAGCACAGACAGTCAGCACCACTGTACTCAGCGAGACTTCTCCAACAGGCACTCTTTAACATCTCTCAAGTGGCTGCAGAATGAGGGCCTCAAATGAGAAACCTGCTCACCGTTGAAAACAGCAGCAAAAACTAAACCCACAACCCCACTGCTACACTCCAACTGTCAGCAGGTAGCTGGGAACTGCAGGGATAGGTTTCTGTGGAGAGAGAAAATGAGGGTCCTCAGTCACCATCCAAAATGACAATCTCACACCAGTCATAATGAAAATCTCTGAGCAGTGTTTGGCTGAGGCTGAATTAATATTGATTGGAGTTTTTATTCCAGCAGAGAAGAGGGGTTTCTAGGCATTTACTGGATTTTTAAGTATCACCCTGCAGAACAGCACCTCTAGTGTGAGTTTCATCAAGATGTGAAATCATTATTTTCTCTTCTCTCACAAAGCTCCCACATTATTCCGAAGGATGGCACCTCTTAGAATCTTATTTTTGAAAGGAAAGAAGGAATTAATAGAAAATAAGATTCTCAGAGAATACCTCCTACCTTGCTTCTCTAACACGTTTCCTCCGAGTCAAAAATCAATTCTGAACAACAAAGTTTATTTGTTGATGTGTGTGTTTTAATAAATGAAGCTCCCACGAGCGCGGCATTAACTCAAAAGTCACAACTGAAAACATCCAGGCTGGGGCTTGATCTGAATTCAGAGAAGTCCCACTGGCTCAGCACCATTTGCTGCCAATCACAGGGCTGTTCATTCTTTAGAGCAGCAATACAAGCTACAAGAAGAGACTTTGAAACGTGGTTCCAGGAGACCTGTATATGTTCTACCACCGCAGCTTCCTCAGCCTTAAGAGTCACCTGTCACAGGGATCAGCTCTGAAGGAAAGCTCACAGCCTCTGATGTAAGGCCATGCCCTCCTGAACTTGCACCAACTGCTCCTAAAAGTATTTTTACACAGCCAAGGTCCTTTGTCCTCATTCTCCAAACATGACACTGGAGAAACCAAAAGGCAGAGTCAGGCAGGACCAGTGTGATGTACAACCACACTGCTGCTCCAGAAGGCATCTGCTGCAAGCCCCAAAACTTCTGCTCCTACAAAGTATTTTTACACAGAGCTGTTCATACAGCCAAGGTCCTTTGTCCTCATTCTCCAAACATGACACTGGAGAAACCAAAAGGCAGAGTCAGGCAGGACCAGTGTGATGTACAACCATACTGCTGCTCCAGAAGGCATCTGCTGCAAGCCCCAAAACTTCTTTCCCAAATGCAGGCTGCCTCCTTTCACCTGTACCATTGCTCATGGTCCCAAAGAGGCATTTGGGAAATGGTTTCACAGCCTTTATGATTAATACTGTACTCCATGGGGTTGACACCAGAATGCAGACATGTGGGAGGAAGCTGTAAATTCTCCAGACCTTTTTAAAAAACAGATTAAAAATAAGTCTGGAGAAGGACAGGCTCTACACATGTACAGCATGAGTCTGATCAGAACAGCTCCATAAGGAATTGGCTTTTGCTTGTGGAGTTACTCTGGGACTTACAGCAACATAACAGCCCTGAAAGCCAGCTCCCAGATTCAAGAATTAAAGACTCAGATGTCACAGTGGCTACAGACTGCATAAGGGAGTTATCTTTTCATCCAGAGGAAGGAACCTTGAGGATGAACCTTGGAACTCTCCATAATAATAAGAGTGATAGGGTATAGAACATTTCAGAGAGGACATTTCAGGACAAAGCATTTTTATCCTCCAAGTACTCAGAGCACTCCAAACTCAGGACTTAAGAGTTCAGTTTGATATGTTGAACTTGAGAATGCCAACAAGCATTCTGTTCAGTGGCACAGACAGAATCAGAGAATCATGGACTGGCCTGGGTGGGAAGGGACCTTTAAAGGTC